ATGCAAATTAGGTCATCATTTGCATAATTAGTATGTGTTGAAGTTCCGCCTGCCATAGGTTACATACATTACATGTATGTAAGTAGTATAATGTAAAACACTGTAATTATAGAATTTCCTCATGAATTATGCAAATTAAGTCCTCATTTGCATAATTTGCATTTAATTATGTACATCTCTCTCAGCTACCTACACACCAAAAATAATGAAAATATGTTGTTCCTGTCTGGACTTATTGGCTTTTAAACATTTCGCCAGAAAGTGCCCTGCAGTTCCAGAACAAGCCGCTAGGGGGCCCATACTCATATGACTTCTTCCCAAGCACGAGAGCTACCTTCCATCAAAATTTCATGACCCTAGCATGTCCAGATCGCGAGATATCAAAACCGGAAGTTGCGCTGCAGTACCAAGGGAAGCCACTAGGGGGACCAAAATCTAATCATTTCTAGTTTTTGTCACACCCTACCAACACACCAAGTATGAATCCAATCCATCCAGGCGTTCTTGAGTTATCTTGTTGACCAACAGACGGACAGACGGACGGACAGATAAACGCAACTGAAAATATAACCTCCATGACACATTTCATGGAGGTAATAATGAAAAAAGAGAAAAGAGAGCTGAAAATAAAAGTCAGTATATGGACCATCATGACTATAAGCAACAATTGTATACAAGTTCACATTTTTTACTTGAAAACCCTCATTGTGTAGTAGCTGTTATCGTCTGTAGTATACCATTGTACAATTAAGAATACAATTAAAAACTCTAGTAGCAGAGAAACGTACTGCAGAACCTATCGAAGGCATAAACTACTAACATTTTCAAATCACCACTGCAGAATTCTTTAAATGAACGTGAGCTTTACACCAATAATACCGGTAGAAGGTTTTTGTTTCAGTAATAACCACACAACTAATTCTGTAACAGTCGTTGTGAACAATGCAATAATGTAATAGTTGAATTTTGTAAATCACTGCATTTTAGTGCTGTAATCCAAGAAGATCGGTGGTATGTTTGTGTACATCATTAATTGACAATATCTGAATAAAGTACAAGTCTCTAGAAACGAACTTACCAAACTGGTGTGGTATGTAAAACCAATGATCTTTCTTCGAGCACAGGGAGTTCCAAAGTGAACGCGTAGGACCATCCCTTCACCTGGGGTAATTGAACATTTCGAAAGCAAAAATACGGTTTTCATTTAGCTTAGGACGACGAACACAAAAAACAGGACCGGATAGACTTTTTAGTACCACGAACAGGACCAGATACACACTTTAGCACCAAGGACAGGGCCAGAAAGACTTTTTAGTACCAAGGACAGGAACGGATAGGCATGTTAGTACCAAGGACAGGACAGGATAGATATTTTAGCACCAAGGACAGGACCAGATAGACTTTTAGTACCAAGGACAGGACCAGATAGACTTTTAGTACCAAATAAATAAATAAAGTGAAAAGTGAAAGTAGCACCAAGGACAGGACCAGATAGACTTTTAGTACCAAGGACAGGGCCAGATAGACTTTAAGTGCCAAGGACAGGACCAGATAGACTTTTTAGAACCAAGAACAGGACTGGATAGATATTTTAGTAACGAGGACAGGGCCAGATAGACTTTAAGTGCCAAGGACAGGACCAGACAGACTTTTTAGGACCAAGAACAGGACCGGGTAGATATTTTAGTAACAAAGACAGGGCCAGATAGACTTTAAGTGCCAAGGACAGGACCGAATAGACTTTTAGCACCAAGGACGAGGCCAGATAGACTGTAAGGTTTAAACCACTCACACTGGGAAGGTCCTCTTCTCTTTTCGATAAGTGTGGTGCGTTTTTTAACGTGCGTAGGGTGTGGTTGTCCCAATAACGGGACGTCCATTTAACGTCCTAGCCGAGGAAAGTCCCTAACCGAAGCTAGGTACTCATTTACACCTGAGTGAAGTGAGGATAGTCGGGTTAAGTGCCTTTCCCAAGGGCACAAGATCGTGACATGTAGGATTTGGTCCTGAGCAGAGCCGAATACGCTACCGATTACGCAACAGGACCCACTACTTTCATCTGTACCAGACGAGTTTCATTTGATTGAGTTTCTGCTTCTACTCAAACCCGTTTGATAAACTTTAAAGACCGGTCCGGCTGTTTACTCAACTTCAGTTGTTTTCTATGTAACGACCTGCGTATAACATGTCTTGCTTTCTAATCTCCTTGCTTTTCCATTTCGGCATGAAGCTAGTATAGTGATTAGCTACATGTGATCCATATGATTTTTAAAAAACTGATTATCATTAAAGAGTGTAAAACATGGAAATACTGACAAAAAGTTGGTTTGGACATACTCTCTTTTTCAACTGTTTTCGTAATGAAACTACTTCATTAATGTTCAACGAATTCGGCGCTAGTTTTACTATACTTTGACTGTTACACTAGATTGTACACATCATGTGTTGTTGTCGGCTTTAATTTATGTATTGTGTCATGTTGTCCGGTATATTTTTCATCGTGTGTAAAATTTGTTTTATTTTCTCTGAACAAATTTTGAAATATACGCTGAAGACGTTAAGGACGTCGCATTGCCACGATGTCAGATTGATATAAACCACGTAACCTGCGCGGCGTGTTCTTTGAGTTAGCGTTGGCGTAGACTAGTCAGCACGATGAAAGCATTAGTGTATAGTCGATTTGCAAGCCAGGAGGTTGTTTACCCAGCTAGGTGACCTTTTACAACTCGTAACTCGAAGGGAACCCTATAGTTAATGTCCTTGGTAACCCAAAGTTGCTTTATACAAGTTTGTAATTGTATATTTATCGGAATATAATAAGCACTGTGTATGATACAATCTATGGCAACTTGTACCATAATATTGGTAAATAATCTCCTCTACGAAAGACCCCCTTCATTTTGTCAGTCAACACATTTGCAATCTTTAACCCTTATATCCCAAATTTCTCGCATATCTAACAATCTCTCGTCAGTTATAACAGGGTTTGATACTCTAGTACAATAGGAAAGTGAATTCTAAGACACTAGTATCTAGCCTGGTTACCAAACCTATTATAGCTCCCGAGTCTTTGTAAGATTTACAATATGGTCACATTTGTTTTGGAGGGGAGCTTGATGTTACATCGTTTTCTTACATGTTTTCGTGTGGCAACAAAGTGTAACTCATGTTTTAAACCGTCAATAGAAGTGTACACTCATGACAACGCTATAGGAATGTGGGTGCAATATGGCAATTTTATGTGGCTCAACAAAGAGAAAAAGTTGGATTGTATGTTCATACAGACGACAATATAAAAAGGAAACAACACATCATTGCCATTCATTGTCTATTCATTGCCTTTGCTACGCAAAGCGATATACATTGTATATTGAAAAGCAAAAAAAGTTTATATTCAGAAAATTCTCAATAATGCCAAAGTTATACATAATATACATACCAATCGGCATGGCATTTATATTACAGTCCAGTATGGTTACATTTGCTTAGATTTGGTTATCATTTAACACTTCTGTACAGTAGTGTAACATTTTACCCATTCTTGGCCATTATCACAATCAGCGGCGATTTTACATTGTAATAGTTGATGACATTTATCTGTTCTTG